AAAAAAAAAGAAAATGAAAGAAAAAAGGAAAAAAATTACTAGCATTAGCTGAAAATAAGTCAATAACCTTTAAAGTATGATTTTTAAACATGTTAAAATAACATGAAGAATAACATAAAATTTAATGTAGTAACTCTGTTACAATTTTATTATTTTATATATCACTTTACTTTTAAAATTAATAAACGGTAAATATAAATATCAATTAATGTTATTTGTTATATTAAAATGACTTCATGACACGTGCGTTAGAACTCCATAGTCTCCATGGCCACTGTTCTTTTCTTGCACGACCAATCTCAGAGCCCATTCATTATCTTCCATCTTAACTATAAATTATATCCACATCTTTTACAGAAGATCAAAAGGAGAAAAGAAAAAGGAAAGTTGAAACATACATTAGCGACGTGCTTCAGTGGCGGATCCAGAAATTTTCATGAGTCTGGACAAAAAATAGTTCGAAGAAATTTAACCATATTGCACAAAGTACTTATATTAACAATTAAATAAATCGTTGAAATAATCGAGTGTTGAGGGGTTCCCTATTTAAATTGTCTTTGACTTGATGCTAAAAAAATGAATTTGAGAATGGAGTCTAGTTATTTTATTTTGCATTTTTATTATTATTATTAAGACATATACCAAAAAAAATTTACAATCCTTTTCCCGTCATTTTTTGTAATAAGAAATAAACAAGTCATTTTGAAATATAATTTATTAATTTAAGAAAAGCCTAAATGTCATCATTTTTGTTTATCTCCTTATAGATAATGTAGAGTTTTTTATTATCAATTTCCAACGCTTTGTAATTCTATAAGTTAGTCCATACAAATATTGATCTTTATCCAGAACTTTCAAATTTAAACGCTTGGGTAATTTAAATCGTAAATATATATTAAAAGTCGATAATATTTGTATGTATTATCATTTCTTATACTTAAATTAGTCATATTTTGACAATATATAATTTGACATTCATATTTTATATGTAAATTAAAATAATTATATCTATAGGATCTCTATCAATAAAAATTTAAATATTTATCAATTATAATTAAAAACAGTAAATTTATCTATCAAGCTTATTATGTGACGTAAATACTAAAAATAGTATAATATAATATCGTGGAATCTGACCGGTGAGATGTATCAATTTGAATATAAACAATAATGTTATTTTGTAAGAATTATTTAAAATTTTAAACTAAAAACTTGTATTTATATTTTTACACATATTAAATGTAAATTTTTAATTAGCACAAAAAATTGAGCCTAGGCAATTGCCTAGGCTCGCCTGCATCTCGGTCCGCCCCTGACGTGCTTGATTACAAAAATTTCCGCTCGAAATCGATTTTTGTTAATTAGAATTAATTTTAAAAAAAAAGTGTTATAATAAATTTCAAATATTGATTTTGGTACTATTAGAATAAAGGATTTGTTAAATAATTAAAAAGATTAATTAAATAATTGTGATGGGTGTTTTCATATCTCAACCTCTAAAACATTTTAGTAGTATATCATGACTCATATGGATATATTTGAAAATTATGACACACTAATCTCACTGCATATACTATATAAGGAAAATGCTACAATCCCGTTACGGAACCATTCCGTTGAGATTTGTAACCGTTAGATCGTCAAGTAACCGTCAATGATAGTTGATCTAACGGTTACAAATCCCAACGGAATGATTCCGTAATACAAAGGTAATTTTAGGTAAACATTGAAGCATATTCACTCTATTCACATAACAAAATCTCCTCACATATCACAGTCAAACAACTTCCCAACTTTCATTTACAATTCCATTTCATTATTATGGTAATAAAATGATTAAAATCACACTTTATTGTGGATAAAAATAATTTCTTGTACCCCTCTGTTTCTCCTCAACTATTGCTGTACATACAATGATACAAAACTAATAAATAATTTCTTGTACCCCTTCGTTTTCAAGATCCAATTTTTCCTTTCACCGTAATATATTTACCCCTTTTTGTTATCCTTTCATTCAAAACCGCGTTATATATACTCGCTTCATTTCCCCAAATATCTCTATCTGTATGAGCTTCAATTTTCCTTCTCTCTCTCTCTCTCTGCATAATGTACCCCCAACAGTACAATTTCTCTCTCTAAAACCACATTACATCTAAACCCACTTAGCAAGATCTCATATTTCCCCCAAGAACCATCAAGAATGGTTCTTTCAAGATACTCGCCGACGGCCCTCCCGACCGCCGCCGGAATCCTCCTGCTCATCCTCCACATCAGCCCGCCGCCGCCCTGCCGCGCGATCCGCTCCTTCCCGGAGAACGGCCCTTCCGCCGCTGCCCGTTTCGGATTCTCCGAGGCGCCGGAGTATCGCAACGGCGCCGGCTGCCCTGGCGGCGCCGCCGCTCCGTACGACCTGTCCCTCGTCCACGTGGCGATGACCCTCGACTCGGAGTACCTCCGCGGCTCGGTGGCGGCGGTCCACTCCGTCCTCCGCCATGCGTCCTGCCCGGAGCAGGTCTTCTTCCACTTCGTGGCGGCGGAGTTCGACCCGTCAACCCCCCGGGTCCTGACCCGGGTCATCCGCTCCGTTTTCCCATCTCTCAACTTCAAGGTGTACATATTCCGCGAGGAAACGGTCCTCAATCGGATCTCCTCCTCGATCCGACCCGCTTTGGAGAACCCGCTAAACTACGCCCGGAGCTATCTGGGAGACCTGCTCGACCCGTGCGTGACCCGGGTCATCTACCTGGACTCGGACGTCATTCTCGTGGATGACGTGGCCAAGCTATGGCGGGTCGGGCTGTCCGGTAACCGGGTCATCGGGGCGCCCGAGTACTGCCGGGCGAACTTCACCAAATACTTCACGGATAGATTCTGGTCCGACCCTATCCTGACCCGGAAGGCGTTCGGGTCTCGTACCCGGAGCCCCTGCTACTTCAACACGGGTGTGATGGTGATGGATTTGGGTCGGTGGAGGGAGGGGCATTTTCGGGAGAAGATAGAGAATTGGATGGAACTGCAGAGGAGGAACCGGATGTACGAGCTGGGGTCGCTGCCCCCCTTCCTGCTGGTGTTCGGTGGTGACGTGGAGCCCATCGGGCACAGATGGAACCAGCACGGGCTGGGGGGTGACAACGTGGCGGGATCCTGTAGGGCGCTGCACCCTGGTCCAGTGAGCCTGCTGCACTGGAGCGGGAAGGGGAAGCCGTGGGTGCGGCTGGACGAGGGGAAGCCGTGTCCGTTGGATCACCTGTGGGAGCCGTACGATCTGTGGAAGGGGCAGGATCGTCATTTAATGTTTTCGGGTGGGTTGGTTGAATATTCGAGTTTTATGTTTTGATTTTTTGTTTTTTTGTTTTTGTTTTTTTTGGGGGGTTTTTAGGGTAATTGGATTCGTTGGTTTTAGGTAAAGTTGTACAGAATGAGGGGGTGATTAAAACTTAAAAGGGGAATTTGTTGGTCAAAATTTGTCAAATTTGATTTGGCTGTGGATTCCTGTGATTGGGAACCAATTTTGGGCATTGTTACTGTATCTACAGACATTTGTGAATGAATAACAAATTGTTGTTGCATTTGAGGGTAATTTATTTGGTTTGGTCCATTTGATCCAACTTTGTGCCATGATTCGATTTTGATTATGTTTATTGATTTTAATTGAATTTAATGATTACAGTGATTTAGTTTTGAATAAAGCTAATAGTGAGATTTTGTGTTTGTTTGAGATGTAATATTTAAAATGTAATGATTACAATTAATATAATAAATAAATATGAGAGAAATTATTGAAAATGATAGTTAAAAATATGTGAGTAGATAAATAGTGAAATAATATTTATATTACGTGTGAGAATGAGTGACGATATTATTATATTATATTGAGTAGAGTTCAGTTGAATTAAATTTGAGTTGACTAGTATAAAAAAACTATCCAATCAATAAAAAACAGTTATAACCAATAGCCTGTGGCCTAAATAGATGAATCAGAATTACTTTTTATTTGTAATACAAGTCGTTCAAACATATCACCATAATCTTAGTTCATACCTCAATATTGTGGGACTCATCTAGGCATGTAAACAAGTAGAGTCGAGCTCGATTCGTTTATTGAGCTTGGCTCGAACTCGAGTCTTAACGAGTCGAGCCGAATTAAACACGTTTAATTTAAGAACACTTAGACAAATCTGAACTAAAAGTTTATTTCTTTACATTAGTGCTTGAAATCTTATCTGTCCATTGCAAATGGTGCTGGAAGAGTCATTGTTGACAATTTTCCTAACATAGTGCTAATAATGGACTAGATCAAAATGGCTCAATTAAATTCTAGTGCTTCTTTTATTAGTGAAGTTTCTAGAAAATATATATATATATATATATATCAAACGGCGCAATGTACCTTGGGTCGCTACGGAAACAACCTCCTTGTATAATTACAAGGGTAAGGTCTGTGTACAATTGACTCCCCAGACCCCAACCTGTTGGGAATATAGTGAGTATGTTGTTGTTGTTGTTGTAGTGCTTGAAATCTTAAAAATCCATTCGACTAAAAGTTTATTTCTTTACATTAGTGCTTGAAATCTTAAAAATCCATTTTTCACTGCATGAAGGAGGAATCAACAACTCCAATGTGTAAAGTGCCTAATGTTGCTAAGCTAAGCAAGTCATAGTTTAATGAGAAAGTCATGGTTGTTAAGATGGTGAAAAGCTTCATTATCAATCATTAAAAGGGTTAATACTTTAAACTGCTTGAGAATGACTTTACTTTATTTTATTTTTTTGGATCGGTGACTCTGACTATTTGTAAGTGTTAGAAATGAGCCCACTAATTTCATGAAACTTCTAGCAAACAAAGGTTTTCATGTGTTGTGATTTTGAACACCCTTTTTATGTGCTTTACGTGTTCTCCTAATTTTCTACACGTGGATGTCTCGTGAACCTTTCCAAGTGTGTGTTTTGCTTCTTCCCAAAAAGTTCACATAAAATAATTAAATAGATTTTACATTTGCAAAATTATTAGGTGAGGCCACCCGATCATTTGGCAAATTGATTCATTATATTTTTTCTTAAATAAAAATGTATGTTTATAAATATTTTTTTAGAATATAACAATTAAGTAAAAGTATGCACATTTTTATGTGTATCGAGTGTTAACTATTGAGTTATGAGTAGTTTTCCATATTTTGCTTTAGCAATTGTATTTCTTTTAGTACTTATGGATACTTTTTCATATTTTGCTTTAGCAAATATATTTCTTTTAAGATATATGGACGAAATATAAAAAATAATATAAATAAAAATGTGATATTTTGTTATATAATTTTATGTATCTTTATTGAAAACATATGACTGTTCGAACCATTGAACTTTTAAATTGATTTTATTTAATCCCAAGTTGTGATGGAATATTTTAATTTGATTTCAAAATAGGGCATGGGTCCAAAATTTTGTTTATTCTACTAGTTGTACTTGTAGCCCACTTTTAGCTGTTTGTGACTAATTAAATTCGTGGATGTTTGTGATTGTAGATTAAAGTCAATTCAATTTTGTTATTTACTGTTCATTTTGGGGCTTTTCACATTGGGTTGGAGTCTATTTGATATCAACTTTTTTCATTTTTCTTTACACATTCTTTTGCAAACTGGCAAATTCACAATTTAAAATCATGGTTCTATAATTTATGTCTCTGTTCAATGATTTAGTGTCAGTTATATTTTTTTATAAATGTTTATTTTATTTATAGGAAGATGAGAAAATTAAAGAAAGTGTCACATGTCCCAACTGTACTTCAGGCTGTCAATTTATTAAAAGCCGCAAGTGGCATTTTTTTTATTGTTATCTATGTCTAACACTCTAACTATGGCATTTAATCGTTTGAAAAAAAAAAAAACTATGTCNAATTATTTAAATTAATATTTTATAAATTAAATAATATTATTTTAATTTAAATTAACTTATTTTGTATTAAACAATATTTTTTAAATTAAATAAAATTATTTAAATTAATATTTTAAATATTAAATAATATGATTTTAAATTAAATACAATTTTTTAAATTAAAAAATATTATTTAAATTAATATTTTATTGATTAAATAATATTATTTTAAATTAATTAAAATTATTTTTAAAGTAAATATCATTATTTAAATTGATATTTTATAAATTAAATATTTTAAATTTAATTAAATTATTTTATATTAAACAATATCTTTTAAATTAAATTAAATTATTTAAATTAATATTTTATAGATTAAATACTGTTATTTTAAATTAAATAAACATATTTTAGATTAAATAAAGGTCGTTTAAGACAAGGTTAATTTAATCACACAATAATAGCCGGATTTTTTTATCACGCCAACAAGGATACATATCCCGCCAACTCATATGTATCCTTATCCCAATCCTATTTAGTAAGCGAGAGACCAACTTTATTCTATCCTATCAAGGCTACTAAACGAGGCCCTAATGTATTTTTAAATGTTTAATGAAATTCCTTAATTGAAGTGTAATCACATGGCTTCAATAGAGTTTAATGTATAATAGTATGTGAATAATGCAAAGCACCTGATTCTATAGATTATTGGAGTTAGGAGAATAGTATCATGAAAACTTGGAGTGTTGAATCTGTCATGAAGAAATGAATATGACCCTTTGCCAGATTTGCACTTTTCCTCACTTATTATTATTATTATTATTATTATTATTATTATTATTATTATTATTATTATTAACAATCTTGTTATACGAAACCAAGACTTGAATATGGTTTTTAGCATATTATTAGAAAAAGAAGAGAGACAATGAAGGCATACATTTATATATATATATATATATATATATATAATTACTAGCTAATCTCATTTAATAAAATATTTTCACTTTCCCTCCAAAGAGAGTTACATTTTTTTAATTAATTACTCACTAATCCCACATTTAAGAAATTTTTTTTTAGTTAAACCTAATTAATTAATGGCTAAATTAAAAAGGTTCCTTTTAGTTAATCTCAGATTTATGTTTCTTATTCTCATTTATATATATATAAACGTGGCAGTCATTATTGTTGTGCAGAAACTATATATTATTATTTTTTATTCCATTATGAATTGAATAAGCAATTAAAGTTATAAAAAATATTAATAAATATATTAAATACAAACATTATAATACAGATCATGTTACATTACAATATTAAAAGTAAAATTATTTTTTTTGTAATTTAATTTCCAACCATACTCCATCAAACATATAGCTGCAAAATGATAAGAAAGATTAGTTTCATAATTAAAATTAAAAATTTAGTTCCCCCAAATGGTAAAACCTTATAAATTAGTAGTATAGATACATTTAAATGACATATAATTTATAAACTTAGACTATACGCATAATAAGATGAATTAAAAAAATTAATGAATTAAATAAATAAATTATTATTATAGCAAAGTCTATATAAATATTATAGTAAAGTCTATATTGTCAATATTATCATTTAAAAAGTTCATTGAAAAAATATATGTATAAAAAAAATCCATATGATCATAATTAATAGTGCAAAATTAACTATATTTGACTTTTCATTTGGTAGTAATAATAAAATATTTTATATTACTACTATTCAATAAAATGCATTATTTATGCAGATTTGATTATCGCAATTGTTGTGTACAAATTGTTATATTTTACTGAGTATCGAATCAAGGATTCGTTTCCCGGGTCGATCTCTCGAGGAAGGCAGTTCGGAATCTAGCTTTGGTGTCGATTACACACGAAAAGAAAATAAATCCTAAACACTCTAATCAGATAAGGGGGTTTGAATAATTATCAACTAAGAAATAATAAAAAGCAATAATCTACCTAAAATATAAACTAACAAAGATGAAGAAGCTAGGGAGTCGGGAATAATTAATTCAAGTTCTATTCGCAAAACCGGGACATTAATCGTTCAATTTCAGATTGACACTCTCGTTTAAACATCTAGCGGTTCACTCCCAATAACTCTTCGTAACAAGGGATTGAACATAGATGAACAAGCTCGAGTATACAACACATGTCAATTATCTCAATCCCAATAACTTTTCGTAACAAGGGACGGGTCATCGACAAGCACGTATTTCAATCCAAAACCTATAGACTATTCAGTTACGAAATCATCTATCTCATGCGATCCTAGGTCTACGACTTCTCCCCTTTCGGTTCTAAAAGTCACCAATTCAATTAGAAGGTGTTTAATCAAATAATCATATAGAATCAACAAACCCTAACTCGACAATTCAATATCCAATCGTTACCAATTGCAAGATCGAAGTGTCACCCTTTGATTATATCAAACTATCAGACACAAATTCATCAATTCCGAACTAAATCAACTCACATAATCATGAACAAATCAAAGCCCGACAAATACAATTTAAACAAGAATAATCGTCCCCTATCCCTAGCAACAGGAATTAGCTACGCAAATTGAATTCAACATAATAATTCATTTCTCCCAATTCAACCATTATTCATGAATTAAACAAGAGAAAGAAATACTTACAATCAATCCAA